CTTCCTTATTGAGCAGTTTACAGAGTTCATAAAAAGTTATTACCATTTCAAAAAAGCATATCCCGTTGACCTTAGCGCCTACTTTCCCGTGTCCAAGCATTCCCATTTTACGTTTTTTATAGACTTGAGAACTAAGAGAGGTGAGGAAACCTGAATTAATCATATTAGAATTGTCGCTGTTACTGAAGAAAAAAATAATCCATTAGAGGTGCTGCACGGAATAAACCATCAGTGAATATGCCGTATAGTTTCTATCCACTATAGCAGGTAACGAGTTTTCAGTAGAGGAAGGATGAAGGATAAAGACGATCCCTTTGACTTTAAAACGCAACTGGCTCAAAATGGAAAGTTTCCGATAACAGCGACTCATTTTAAACAATCTATTTTTGCTTCGGTCAGAATTAAGCTGAGAGATGGGGAAGAGTGACCTATCGGACTGTTACTTTGACTGTTCGTTTACATCATTTGGAAAATAAAAAACACTTCCTCGTCAAGAAACTTGGAATTCAGTAGATACGCTCGGTCATGAACATCGAGTGATGTTTTTCATCAAGAAAGGTCTCAAAAGTGCTCCTCAACCGATGAAACCTCTGAGTTTTACAGAAGGAGCTCTTACACACTTTAAATTGATTAAAAAATATGCTGTAAAGCATCAAAACTGGAAATATTCAGATCTCAGAAAATCTGCAACAAAGTATCAAATTGTCGTCTTAATGGAACCTAGCCAGCTACAGCGGGTCTTGCAACGACAAGCTGAGAAAAAAGATACAAATTAGGGATGTAATCAGCTGTAAAAGTACGCTTTCTGTTCTTCTATAATTCTTGCTTTTAGACTGAAACAATTTTGGCCGTCCGTTAATCGTCCGTGTGAAACTTTAACAACCTGGAAAATACTCGCTGAATGTGAGCGTAAATTTGACATTTTCAAAAAATTTTGATGAAGCGCAGTAGAGAATTCCCAGTATACTGTTTCATTCCAGCGTCCCTCCAAAATATCCATTCATCAGGAACTGAAATAAAGTTATCAACGGTTTCTTGGTCAAAAAAACTAGTCGGTGTACGAAGGACTTTCGTAAACCAAAGATAATAGGCAGCAAGTAATAAAAAAATACTTCAGAAAGTTTCGCAAAAAAATAGTGGTGCATTGTGTAAAGCATAAGATTTTTAGGCAACCTCGTTTATACTTCTGGAGAAATAGCTGCAAAAACTTTGCTCTATTATTGCTTTCTGAGAACTTTTCTGGATTTAGTGATGTGAATGTTTCGCGTCTGCTAATTTCGCGTAGATCCCCAGAAGAAAGAAGGAATTTTCGGAATTGCTTTTTAACATGAAGTGACGGTAAAAGAGCGGGAAACCGCAGTTTCCATAAAAGTGTGAGCAACTGCTAGAACTAGACTGTTGAGTGGTGCCGCTAGATGCAAAAATAATTAAAATCTTAAGGTAAGAGAAATCGGACGGAAAAGTCAATTTTAGGGAAGTTGGCAGTTTTGCAATGGAGAAAAGGTAGGGAAAGTTACGAGCAAACTCAAAAGAGTTTGGATAGAACCTGTAGTCGAGTAAATAGTATGAAAATTTTCGTCCCATAACTGCAACACAGAATAGCAGTAAAGCCAGATCGATGAAGCAAAGAAGACAGTTGTAATATTGAGTGACAAAATAGAACAGCAAAATAGAACAGACTATGTAAAAATTGACCGTGGCGGTTATTGAAAAGATAGATAATATGTCGAACCTCAAATGCCGGCATTTTTGTTTTATAAAATAAAATATTTGGTGTTGATGCTATCAATCCAATAGTTGCAACAAATTGTTGGTTTTTTTTAAATGGGTCCTTGAGTAAATCACGAGCCGCTGAGTAGAGATACCAGTGACCTCCGAACGAAATCGTTGAAGAGGAGTAAAAAAATGGGTCGAGAACGAAATAGACAGGTTTCTGTAGCTTTCTTTTGCATAAAATGTGTGTTAATATTTATGGCACATAAGTATTTTAGGTATAGATATGAAAAATACAAAGGTTTTATATGTGTATATATAACATAACTATATAAATTTTAATGTTTATTTGAACGTAAAGTAAATATGAAACTTTTTTTTATAACTAGGTATGGCCAGTAGCTATCAGATTTTTAACTGAGTAATTCAGGAAGATGGATTTTTTTTAACATCTGGATTTAGTCAAAGGGCAGTCTAGCAAATGGTCTCACCGTTTATTCTTTCCAGCTTGACGGCCTTTTATGATCATTCACTAGTTTCGAGAGCGTCCTGCTTTATACCATTTATTTTACCTATCTTTTTTTTACAGTCGTTAAAGCTCAGTCGCCCTGCATGAAACTGTTTTCAAGAAGATTCTGTCTAGTTCATCATTCATTACAAATATCTCTGACTTTAAAGAAGAAATTCGTGTTTAATAGAGCTTAAAAGTTGACAAAGGTACAGAAGACGAATTTGCCGTTGTATCAATATTTCGTTTCCTGTAGCTCGATGAAATCGTTACCATGAAAATTTGGAGACTAATGACTAGATAATGCCACTTTTCAATTTGATGGGTAGACAGTCGCGAACTGACCAGTGAGAAAGTGAAATCTCGTTTTTACAGTAATCTTTAAAGTCTTTATCATCCAGAAGACAGTAATCGCTGTCCATCATTTATAAATGTCTTTTCCGAACCGGAAATCCTTTGTTAACTGGCATTGGTACAACCAAAGGTAAGCCGTGAGAAATTTTTTTAAAATGCTTCAGTTTATTCTCTAATATTTCCTCTAAACTCTGAGACCCACTCCAATTTGCCTAATGTTGAGGAAATTATCACTGAAGTGTGCAGCTGCAGCTGAAATGAGGAAGACAAACGGCACAATACCAACAACATTTCATTCTTCTAAGTTTTGTAACTTCCACTGTAGTTGGTTGGAACAGTAAAACTGCGCTTAATTTTAACGGAAGTTACAAAACTTTGGCAAGGAGAAAGAGTTGGATTGCTGTTGCGTTGTTTGTTCATTCCATTTTCGGCTGCTACGATATATGTAATAATAGCTTTACAACGTTGTTTCCTTTTATGGAATATTCAACAGCGTATATCTCTTCTAAACTAATGATAAATAAGAGCCTGTTTTTAATTGTTTGCTGCTGTAGTTCGGTAATTTCACGTCTTTCATGCCTTCTATCTTCAGGGCAAAAAGAGAGGGATAAAAAGAAAAGAAAAGTGGATAAAACTGAACAAAATCAACAAAAAAAAACTGCAACAAACATCAAAAAAAAATTTTTTTATGCATTAAGAAGCGGATAAATTAGCACTCTTTATTCGGCTTCTCTCTAGGTTTTTCAAGTATCTAAAATTTTTGTTTATTTAGTATTGACTTTGCATTAATTTTTGTTTAGTTCCATTTTAGCTATTTCATGTTATTAAACCTTTACTTTAATCTGCCTCAACTTATCCCTTCAAAAGTTTAA